GTACGTTACGCTAATAAGCCCCCCAGGTATGATCATGAAATTGATAGAAATGGATAGAGGACACCTTAATAACACGTTTAGATTAAAAAAATTTGCGGAAGAGGACCTAAATTTTCCACAATCTTAATTAAAAGTTCACCTCATTTTCTGGAAATCTGGTGTTATTTTACGTATATTTTGTAATTCTTAAGTTGGTGAAACTGAAAAATTTTATGTGACAGCTCTTTTTCCCCTAATAAACAAAGGTGACAGTAAATTTTTGTAGGAGGTTATGTTAACTTCTTCGTCTACTAAAATGAAATATGTTGGGTTTAACGTGTATATTAAGAGAATGTAATAAAAGTAGTACAACAGGTATAATATACAATACAATTTTAGGTTTTGTTCGACTTAAACACCAAATAAGCGACACTTCCATGTGACTGACATTTTAATAACACCACTTTTTGAAGCTTATACAGTCTAAACTTGAATGCATTAGGGAAGAAGGATGTCGTAGAGAAGGTTGCATGTGGCAAAAATTTCTTGGTATCGATCACCGAGAGGGGAAACCCGGACACTTCCTGCATGTTTCATATGAATCGACGCTTAGCATCCACCGCCCAATACGGTCGAGAGGGGAAGGAACATCACTCGCATTTTCCATGGATCGCTGCTTAGCAATGTAGGATGTAGAGAACTACTTACTGCTATTATGGTATAATTTAAAACATTGTATATCATTGTTTAAAGTTAATTAAATCGTGGAAAAATAACATAACCTCTTAAGAAACTAACTAAAGTTGGCACTCAGGAATGTTAAGAACACCAGTACCAACTGAAAAACAATCATGAAATTTGGAGTAATGTAACCTCACTTACGACGAAATGAAGTGAACTTTGAATGAAGATTGTGGAAAATGTAAGGCTTCTTCCGCAAATTTTTTAACTGATAACATGTAATTAAGGTGTCCTCTATCCATTTCTATCAATTTCATGATCATACCTGGGGGGCTTATTAGCGCAACGTAACCCAACTGTGTTTTATCTGAGCTAGCTGGACAGGTGCTTGTACCAATAGATGGTTTAGAGACCGTTCATCATAGCACAGCGTATTTTTACTTGGCGCCCTACGTGAGGCACATAGCAATATACTATACTATGTTCCGAACTATTACTAAACCTTTATTTTTGCGAAATTTCTTGATTTATTAAGCGGTAGAGCAAAGCGATGCAAGCTTTATAGGGGAGTCGGTGGTGTCCGTATGTCCGTGAACACGATAACTGTAAAACGCTTGGAACGATTTAGTTCAAACGTTGCAAAGTTGACCTATATGCCACAAGTAATAAGCCTATTGAAAATGGGTCAAATCGAATGACCCCTTGCGGGGGTTCAAACTTTGCACAGATAACCTATATGCCACATGTAATAAACCTATTGAAAATTAGTCAAATCCAATGACCCCTTGGGGTCACGCTTCTCTGTCCTTGCCAAACGCTTGAACCTATTCGGTTGAAACTTTGCACAGTTAACACAAATAGACCACATGTAACAAGCCAATTGAAAATGGGTCAATGACTCCGTGGGGTCACACCGAGGTGCTCTGCCGCTTTTTTAAACGCTTTGTATGGGTTTATATGATTTTGCATATTTCTGTCTCTGTCTCAATCAGTCAAAAAACCGTTTTTTGTTCAAGAGTAGGTCTACGCAAACCTAAATAGAAACTTATCTTCTCAATCAAAAACAAACAAGAGCAAGAGCAAGTTTCAGATGGAATCGTTCGAGGTCTTAACATACAATCTTGAAGTGACGCTTTGCCACCACAAACATTTAAAACTGTTTTGCAACCAACATGGTTGCCGTCAATGTTATAACGAGTGACCGCTTTGCAGTTTTGAAAATTATTTTTTTTTAAATTTCCGGAGTCATGGATTGGTCGTGGCCGCCAAAATCGCCGGACTTCACTCCCTTGATTTTTTTCTTTGGGTTTTTTACATCAAGAATGAGATTTACAGGATGGTACCAACTACAGATCGTCATTCCGAACACATATTTTAAGTTGGTAGATCCTTAGGAACAGTCAATTTGACAGATGACAGCTGATTTGGTTCAGTTTCACCATCAACGGACTTACGCCAGAACAACGCTAGCAAAATTCGGTAAATAGGCCGAAAACAAGATTGCTCTTGATCCTAAATTTCACCACAAAATTGTGTTCAGCGATTAGGTCCAGTTTTCGTTGAAAGGGTACGTCAATAAACAAAATTTCCGGATTTGGAGTGAATAAAATCCAGAAGCCATTGTAGAGACTCCGTTACATCCACAAAGAGTAACTGTTTGGTTTTTACCCAAAATCGTCATGAAACCTTCATTTTGTTATTATGTCATTATGTTAGGAAATTTTATTTTCCATGACAGATGCAGACCAGACTAAATTTCCTGTCGCTTATGACTTTACCGGCCGCTCCTGTCACTTTACCTACATTGCTACATGTCTATAATGACTCCTGCCATCGCTGACAGCTTAATTAATCAACAGTTCTATATAAAAATTGAAATTGTATATTAAAATACGATTTCGGGTAAAATTTAATACCAAAGTCGTCAGAAAAATGACATTATTTGACGCGGAAGTTAAATCAATATTTCCACACCAGTAATGTGCCATTTTCCTAACTTTTATGTAAATAAATATTGTGTTGTATTTCATTTTAAAGTTCTACACCGCTAAAAAAACACCCTTTACAATTAGGATCATTTGCCAGTGGCCCGCCAAAAATGACTGAATCATCCGTTTACCCCGCCCTTTAAAAACGTTGAGCAGCCCTGCCTAACGCTAACCTAACCATTAGCTTATATTTGAAAATTAGCTTATAGATCTTATACGAAAAAGGGGCATAAATGCCTAACGTGTTAAAATTGAATTGTATTGTGCAGGTTGATTGATAGATTTCATATTTATGTATGAGGTCGTGCTGGTGGGTACTGCTGCTTGAAACCTAGATTCGTCACAAAAATATCAACAAACCACCTATAAAATTTTTATTACTTATCATAGGTACTTCATAAATCTTAACGACATAGAATTAATATAAATAAATTAATCCCCGATATTTGGTGCTTTAGGCAACCAACATAACCGAATTGTATAGTTCTAGGCTGAAAGTAGGCTGAAAAAAACACTGTCTCGAGGAAATAAAGTGGAAGTGTTTGTAAGAGCTTTATATTCAAAGGTAGGAGTCAATGTGGACAAAAAGGACTCGCCGCTATACAAATGATAAATGTTTCTTACATAACGGAGTCGACAGTTATTATAATAATTAATAAACAAAATAAAGAAAACAAAATATGGATATAAAAACGAACAAATAATTTTCGAAGTTTAAATCACAAAAAAATGTGGATATAAAAATGAAAATATATAGAACTGTACACAAGTTTTCAAATGCATTAAAAATGGCAGTTTTTTGTGTAGGATAGTTCGGTATGCAAATGAAGAAATTTATGTTATTTCGACATACGAATTTTGGTCAGTTACGGTTACCTTCAAGGACGGAACTTCTATTTATTTGGAAAGGTGAAATAGAAACCCCAGAAAATAATTTGCATATAAACGATCATCCGTACATTTCGACATGAATCATAATGACCTTAAATGAAGTTCTGTATACATTAACCATGCACGCATCGCCGCTTTGGAATTTTAAAGGCAACAGGTGTGTATAGGTGGGAAAATGAGTAGCGAAGAAATGTTACCTTGATCGCGGTCACGGACATCCGGAAACATCGATATGTAGGTTAGTAAGTTAATAACACGACTATGATACATGCTTCCCCATCAAGATCATCGGTCATCCACTACCTACCAACCTTACATGAATGAAAATTTTGATAATTGTAGGGAAAACTCGGAAACCCTCCCACAATTAAATCCTTGCCAAAAAGAAGAATCTGTACATTTAATTCTAAATGGAGTGCTATGGTATTTAGAAAGTAAAATTTCGATCAACTTTTACAATTTTTTTAAAACTAAATATCACTTTTGCCTCTTTTCGCCGGCCGACGCCGGTCTACATTTAAAAATACTGCCGTGCCACATTTTTAATTAATTACACACAACTAATTAACTTGGATTAATTCTTCGATAAAAATACGGATGATCAATGGAAAGGAGGCCGTTATTATATAGTATGATGTATGTACCTTCACTACCGCCTTAAGCCTTACGTCCTCAAATAATTGACCTAATTACAAATATGCTATAAAATCTTTCGCATTTTCCATGTTTCATCATTACATTGTTTACAGTTGGATGCGGTACCACGCAAAGTAATGAAAAATCGAGGATACTTAAAGTTCCAACTCGCTGAGCTTTACGTTATATTAATCTTTCATGACTGTAATTAGTTTATTGTTATAAACGATTAAGTTATTGCCCAAAATGCATGCAGCGCTTTACCTCCCCGAATCAGAAGTCAGTATTTAGATCATTTGAGTATAATTTACACTTACTGCACTCCCATACTTTTAATTGGGGATTCACTCTAAAGTGTGGAATAAATTCTTTACTAGACGCTGACGAACTAGTAACACTTAAAGACAAACGAAAAAGAGTTGCCATAGTCATTTTTCGAATGAAAGACTAAGCGTTTTGATGAGTATGTATAAGCACAATTTTGGCTTGGTATTTTTAAAAATCTCCGTGCTATTGACTGAGGGGATAATTAAATCCTTTTTAAATCTGGTCTGGTTTTGTATCAATATCAAAAATAAAACAGCTAATTACCTTAATTAAAGTTGGGTATTTTGCTACTGAACCAGAAGAAGAAACTCTCTCGCACCCTACCTAAATTACTAAAATTTACTAATTCCATGTACCACCATCGTAGTGCACAAGACATGTTGCAAACTGTCGTTAGATGGAGCACGTATTGCAATCGGCGTGTAATATCGCAATGAGAATTACAAGATCTTTGTGTTCTCGCGATCACTTTATAGCAAAATTAATAAATTTATTTACCTTCCATAGCACTTCGAGCTTCATCGGGCGAAGACAGTTTAATTTTAATCTCGTGTTGGCCCATATACCGTATGATTCGATCAAATATTCCCTCTTCACCTTTAGGCGTTGAATCATCCCCATTCGTTTTTTCCAAGCTGACGTAGTCTCCGATTAACTGAATCGAGGGCTGACTGTCAAACTCATCCACCACTTTAACAAGATTTTCTTCAGCACACTGTATACTATCACCGCACCCCTTGTATATATCGTCACCATCACACTGAACCAGTACAACAACTGATAAGAAAATATATAACGTCTTATACATCGTTAGTTTAGTACAGTATATGACAATAAAAGTAATTGATTATCAAAGAGTTGAAGATTTATATTGGCAAAATAGTAATTTGGAGGGGCTGAAAATATATTCAAGTATAACACGGATAAGCAAAAAATTCTGTTACAGACGTGTACCTTTTTGTAATTTTCGATTCTCTTTCATAAAATGTTTGTTTACGCAACTTAATTAGTATTCGATGCAGTGTGGAGCTCACCTTACAGGCACATATTAATTGCAACCTCGAAATTTTTGACACAAATTTTGTGTAACATAGATTTTGCTGTTTAAATACAGATCAGTGCTTTTAAATACCTCACAAGGTCCTTTAAACCATAAGATATTTCCTTTTTCATCACAATTATGTACTTTAACTATTTATTGCTTCTGTTTAACTTTATCTTGCTGAATAAAATCATTCGTAAATCAAACTCTTTGCTTCCCCAGATTTACTTGATCCACAAAATGAGGAAACATCACGTTTTAACGGATAAAGTCAAAGTAATTAATCATCAATGATCCACCATTGTTATAGTAACAAGTAGGTACCTAAACTGTTGGGTGCTCTTCTTTCACATAAAACCACAAGTTTAGCTTTGAAGGAAGAAAAAGAACTTCATAACTTAAGCTGGGGTAAACTGTAAAATACTTACTTGTTACGTACCATTCTTGTTGGAAATAATAAACATAATCACAGAGAACAGTTTATGTTGCATAATTAAATAATAATTTTAAAAGAAAATAGCAATGGAAATATTTGCTAAGAAATTGAATGGCATAGTAAAACTGAGGAAAATTTCAACCCTGAAGTTGTAAATAAATAGACAACCATTGACGTTTGATAAGATACAAAGTGCTCAAGACAAGATTAGACAATGTAATGAAAGCTTAAATCGCGATGAACTACGAAAACAATTTATGTTATTTTCTGAAGAACGCGAAAAAAGTGATGTGCCATCTACAATAACACATGACAGATGACACACAATAATGATAACACATGATCTACTTGTTATCCCAAGATCGTCTCACTTCGAGCCGTGTGAAACTACTGGTATGAAAAAATCGAGTTAAGCCAACGGCATTCGATAAACAAGTATGAATCGTGCACAATTCCTGTGCAGATAAAGCGCATTTTTTTAAATCGAAATAGGTTAGTAAGTGGCTAGGCTATAAGAGTTGAAGGCTCTTTACACAGAAACTGTTAAAGACCGCCTGGCATACATTCAAAATCCTCCGACACTCCATTTTGCCTTTGAGACAAACCGACAAACCGTTTTCGAGATATTCGCTCTTAAGGTTTTGACATCACCAATGGATATATTTCTTCCAGACGTCCCAATCGCCCTTTGCGAGTACCCTCTTCCGACAATCCGTTCTGGAGGTATATGGCAATATATCCGGTCACGATAAGGGGTCGAGGAGGAGGAGTATGGTTGGTAGAAATTAATTCTCTTCGTTGAGACCTTTCATTAGAGTACCATGAAGGGTCAAACCAGTTCCACACCCCCTCCCCAACCCCCCTCCCGCCCCCAGTGAACAATAACTAGGGAAAACTTGAACGGGTCCATCGGAAGGAGTGAGTAAGTTATGCCCCGGAAACTGCTATCCAAGTCGCATCACACGCGCGGCTCACAAGATAACCGTGGTTGACGTCTAGTGATTAACTGGAAAATGTAAGAAAAATGGCCAACCTGGAAAAAGGTACCTTCATACGATCCAGTCTTAAGGCGTATTCAGTCTCAGTGAGACTTGTTACGTCTAGAGGATTTCTGGAGATGGATAATGGCACAATCACAATTGTACAGCTAATGATACTAGAGAGCAGAAACTCTGAAATACCAAGACAGATTCCAACAGGTACCCTGTAATAAAACAATTTTGTGATCACTCCGTAAATGAACACCCGGTATCTAGAAGTGTTTTAATTTGGGCGCTTCATTATGAGACTGTAACTTCTGGACCAAGATATTTCCCTTCTAGGAATTGAAGATTGAAGGTAAAGGTTGTTGCTTTAATTTTTAGAGTGTTGCAGTCGCCGTTACCGTTAACAAAATCTCTAATTAATTCGCCGTTTAGATCCGTTCCCGTAGGAATAATTAAATTATTTTTGTAGAGACCGACAGCCCTCGGGATGGGGACGCAGTGGAGAAATTACTATTTTATTAATTCAATTCCCTTTCATTCATTAATAACCGATTATAGTTCCCAAAGTTAATTCAAAACTAGGATAGAAGGTCGTACAGTTTGTAACCCTATCACGGACCTTTTGCGATTGACCCGAAATTACAAATAACAATAATGAAACTTAGTGGACTACCGATTTTATAAATTTCAATCCGGCCAATCAAATAAGTGTAATTAGTCGTTCTGTTGCAGTAAACGTTATGAGAATCGTAAGAGGTGCTCTTAGATACCCTTCTCGATTTGCTGAAGTCTACAAAGCCAAGTGCGTTCCTTCAAGGGGCTCTTTTGCGATTTTCGTCGTGAATGCATAGAGAATTGGTATATACTGTTTTTTTTAATCATTGCACGTACCATTTCAACTAAAGGTAGACGTTTGACACTTTGCATTCCATTAATTATAAGGAAGGTATTACTTTGCTTTACCTGCATTTGATTTTCCGTAGCTACTGTTAATTAGTGTATGCGTTATCGCTGGTATTCCTGATAGGTAAATTAATGTGTTGCCGTGTACCGTAATTCTGCTTTTAGGTTCTTCGTCTGCAGTCTGGCCATACGAACCCTGGAAGTACCGTTTTCTCTGAAGGAGGTTATCTGCGGCAACCGCTTTTACCGCCGACCATGACCATGGGCAAGACGGCATTATTTGGTGGCGCTCGAGTTGCCGTTTCGTTCCGCTTGTCTTTGCAGCTATCGCCAGCTTATAAATTTAGTTCATATATTTACTTCATTGTGATTTTATTCATTTTTCCATCAATTAAGTTTTAATTTTGATTCCGCTAATTATATTGTTAATCTACGACAGGGTCATTATGACAGATTTATCATGGCTACTTGGATGTCATTACGGCTTTAATAAAAGCACTATACTCTTAGACCATATAGTACAACTATACTACATTCATTATGAGAAGGTAGCAGATGGCGCTGTGTTTGAAGATAAGCACACACAGGAACAATATAAAACGGCACTAAATTATTGTAAAGTAGAAATATCCTGCACTGGGAACAGAAGTAAATCAAACGATTACACGCTTGGATCTTTAACATTAACAGCTAATGACAGTTTGACAGTTTAGTTGGCAACAGAAACTACTAGCCTACAAAATTCGTCACTTGTTTTATTTTTAAGCGTAATACTGACTCGTGTTTTAACAGTGAAGATCACCGCTACCTTTTTAAAATGAATAGAGTCTAGTGTTCTATGAATTAATAAAAGTACACAAATGATAATAATTACTAAGTACTATTTTCCATGAAAAGTGATAAATTCGATTACCATCACATCCACTAATCTGCGCCCTTGATGAAAACGTGTAGATAAATGAAAATGTGAATAAAATATATTTGGACCGTCGTAGATTGAAATACGAGTTGAAGAAGAAGAAGCTGCTACTGGAAACAAATACATCTTGGGGGCCATGGACCATTTCAGCAAATGGCCAGAAGGATATGCCCTACCAAATCAAGAAGCGACAACTGTTGCGTACGTAGAAGAGCTTTTTTCAGATTCGGGATATCCCTAACAGTACCATTCCCACGCACGAAATTTTGAGTGCTGTTCCAAAACCTGCATCAACTATTGGGCCAAGACCAGCACCACTGCTTTACACCGACAGTACCGACAGGTAAATTTGAACATAAACAATTTTTAAGGCCATATGTGCTAATAGAATGATTGATTTTCACCCCTATTTCTGACCAGGAGTATTAATAGGTTAGTTGAATAATTCTGAAATACAAGCCTTACGAGAACTGGGGTTGGTTGTGACGTTACTTTTGAAGCAAATACTCCGGTGGAGAGTTTTCTGGAAGCGAATCTTCGGGGGGCGAATTTTCCAGAGGTGAATATACTGGGCGTGAATCTTCGAAGCTTATTCGCGACTCCAACCGCAGGAGGATAGCTACGTTTTACACAAGGGCAGAAATTCCGCTATTTACTTTCACCGAGAACAAATTTAATTAATTTAACTTATCACAAAGGAAATCAGCGTTGTATGGAATCGAACATACGTATAATTCATGTATGATAATAATAGGAATTAAGAGTCGTTTAGTAAGATATAGTAGGTATGAAATATAGTGGAGAGGATATCGGTGCCTATCTACGAGTAGTATCTCAGAGTGTTTGTGTTGTAACATATAACTTTTTACAAAAACGGAAAGAAGCTACCAGCTTCCTTAGGGAATTAAACAAAAACCACTTCACTTTATATTGAGGTTGAAGCATCTCTGAAAACAAAAAGAACGAGTTTTAGATCCTTGGTGCCATCATCACTTTCTCCAGTGTTAGGGATACACCTCTCTTTAAAAAAAGGTCGAAAAGAAAGACAAAGCCCCAAGGCTGGCACTTAACTATTTTTAATTTATTTGTATAGAACTAATATTAAGCAATAAATAATAAAGCGTTGATAAATGGGAGGTTATGGTTTTTGATTCGCGTACGCTAAGTCTTGGGCCTCTGTTTGTGTATCACTACTGTCCACGCTGATTGAACGTGCGTATGGGTATTGACCACTGTTCCATCCACCTATGCTGTTAGTAGTCCACGTCGAAGGTACTCCATAAGCGGGACCACTTCCACTGTTCCACCCGGAACCCCAGCCTGAGAAGTATGGCGTCACGACGTTACTCTGTAAAACAGAACATCGTTAGTCCAATAGTAGCACATGGAGAATCACTAACCTTCCCGAAGAACGTCTGTGCGGCCAACACGAGCGATATCACCAACGCTAGCTTTGCTAATATCAGTGCTTTAATAGACATGAACTTTAACACTGCCATCAACAGCGACTTAAGTAGTAGTATTTTAGCACCGACTAAATACATAATCGACGATCCACCACCCTTTTTGCTCTTGCCTCTTGCTAAAAATTGCAAATTACACACGATCCAAAATCGATCTCAAAGAAGAGATACCTTCATCCAAAGATCGTGCGATAGTTGCCGGTGCAATTTCGGGAATGTCAATTTTTAGGCTGCGGCCCGAGAATACTCGCCCCGCAGATTGCAATAAATGATCGAATATTATATCAGTCCTATCTGAGAGATCCTGGGGTAGATCGGTTAGCTCTTTCGCCTCTCTTTGGGATACGGGCTTGTTGCTGAAATCATTTGTTATTCTTGCCCAACTTAAAACTATTTGGTACCTGACTAAGGAGACACCAGGTAATACCGCTAAGGATTCAGAGTTTGCTAGATGGTGTATCAATTTCAAAGCTCTGGAAGCTGCGCAATTTATCAATGAGGTAAATCCGCCATCAAAGGAACACTTCGTGAGTATCCCCATGTGGTCCCCTATATCATTATCCTAAAGAAAACTGTAAAAATGCACCCGAAAATACGTATCGACTTACCTCGATCGCGTTTTCACTATCCAATCCGTTTGTAGCCGGGTTCTATAGAATCGCGTATTGGGTTATTATCATAAACGCAGCTAAACACTTACCGCGGTGACATAATGAAGCACTAATAACAACACACATATCCTTTGAAGATGCATTTCAACCAAGTCACTTTATCAAAACGCAACTGATAACTGATTTCGGGTAGAGAAAAAAACGAAATTTATATTTGTAACCACCACCTTCCAAATGCATTAGGAATAATGTCATTAAAAGGGAGTTGACAGCATATTTGTGTACTTTACTTGTTAACACGACCCATCCTTTCTTTTAATGACCTACTGAAAGCATAGGTGTAGAACTATTTACATTTAAATACCCAATTTGGTCCGGATTAAAGCATTGTCATGACATAATTTCTCACTTATTACTCAGTTATTACACTTTAACAATTTCTCTTTTACTTGTTGACTAATTTACTTATAGCGTACAGGTTGTAATATGCGATTAATTAATGTAGCTTTTCCTGTTCGGCAAGTGGACATTGTTAGTAGTTCGCGTAACGATTTCAATCTCAATTGACACAAGAGTTTTTAGGAATTTTTTCGTATCTATCGGTTGCCGTTCCGTGTTTCCATTTCTACAAATATTTATTTAACCTTAATTATCGTTTCGTTTTCAAATTTTTTAATGTTTCTATTTTCAACTTCAAATATTGTATTTCGACTTCGATGTTTGATCTAAAAATGGGATTAGCAAATGTAGCACTCTTAAATGTACCGGAGGTTAACTCTATAAGGTGAAAATTGTACCTGCCATTATCTAATATTTGCTGGGCACCCCGCACCCCAACAAGCAGCCGACACTGTAGCAGGGAGTAACCCACCTGCGATAAAAAAAACGATGTCACTGACACATTTACCAGAAAAATATTCTAATAAAGCTTGCTTTGAATTATTTCGTTAATTCTTCGAAGTACGAGTTTGCATCAGCATCTTCCAGATTACTGATGGGTACCAATAATTGTCCAAATTTCTATATTGGATATCGTTTTGCCGGAAAGAGAATTAGCCTTGTCCAACAAATTGGATTATTTAACGTTCTAATTTTTCTTCTTGAATTTAACATCCGTACGAGACTCTAATACAACTTTTGGTTTTTATCTAAGGGATTGTTAGGTTGTTCCTCGAGTTAAAGTTTAAGCTTTTATTGCCAGAATTTTCCAACCTACGTTTCAAACATTAAAAAAAGGTTGGCTCCCGGAATTGCCGAAAGCAGGTTAGCCCCCGGAATTACCGAAAGCGCTAATAAAGAAAAACATGATATATTATGGTGCACAATAACAGCATAAACTTCAACCACTACAAAATTTACTTCAATTACCGTTTATGCTATTAGGTATTAGACATTTCCGGCAACTTCCAATGATGATCATAAATAAAAGTGCAACTTTGCGTCCAGTGGCGGACGGGTAAATGTAATCAGAGATAGTTAAATAAAAAAGTACAGCTGTTCCTCAGTCACCTCACTTTTTGTTTTAGATTCTTGGTAACCTTTAATTCTGCCTAATTCTATGCTTCTACAGGTTTTTCGCAGCCTTCAGTTCTTTGTTGTAGATTTCTCTGATTCCTAATTCATATATTCTGCATTAGATTTAGGATTTATCAGTTTTCGAATACTTTGGATTTAAATGATCTACTTTCGGTTATACTTCAACTCTTTCAGATCCCTATGATTCCTCAGATTCTTCAGTTGATTTGCAGCATTCCTCTGATCCTTTAGATTTTTCAATTCTTTAGATCTCTTACATTCTTCATATTATTAAATTTCAATCTGCACTGTATCTTTTACGGAGATCCCATTGAGGAGCCACGAATTTGAACCACCCTGTACGGAGGCGTTAGAGAGGTTTCATCTGTGTCCTTTCATGTTAGACTACCGTTGGCATCACCTTGCCACTCACGAGACAAGGGTACTGAACCAACTGGAGGAAGCATTCTTCGGAGTGTATTTAAGACTGGCCAGGGGTATTAGGCATATTATGTAAACGGGACTTTTTCAATTTTAAAAACTAGGTTGGGCATTCTTAACTTGAAATCGGTTGTTCATCCCTCTATGGTGATCCGTGTGTAAGTTTTTAAAACTAACTAAACTCGAGAGCACTCGGTGGTATGATTTTTGATGTTTTTTGGATATACCCCCTAATTTCCTACAGTTTGCCCACAAGAGGGCCTAATTACCAGCGACCTATCGGAGAAGTGTCCGGATGCCAGCACGCCTGTCCAGCCCGCCACTGTTTCCGTTTTTTTAAAGAAACTATAGTGCGCTAAATCATTTAACAGCTGCTTGTTCCTGCTAAATATGTTTGTTTTTTAAATTAATCGTATGGTGATAAATCATGGGGTACAGACAATGGGTCATTACTTGGACTCGTATAGTAATCAACGGTTTGACGCCCTGAGTGAGAGCTGGCATTGTCATATTGAAAATGTAGTTCACCTATTTTGATTCATATGCAAGTTTCGATGCAGGTGTCGGTTAAATTTCGTGAGTATTCCCTGGCATCATTTGACATGACCTCCTCTATGTTGTGCGGGATCTTAGATCCAGATCATGGATCGTTGGTTAGCCATTGAATTATTGGCATAAGAAATACATTGTAAACTTCAAATTTTAGGACTTTCTCACACTCACATTATTAACGAGCTCCTAGCGAGTTTACAAGTTTGCGGTGCTTGTCCGTCTGTTCGTTAGCACGATTTGTCGATAACGAATGGACCGATTACAATGAAATGTTCTAGGTGGAATCTTTATCAGATTTGTAGATCGGAGTTCGTGAATTGGCCCTTTTGACATTTCTGTTAGTTATGAACCGAATTGCATGAACTATGGGCATAGCTTTAGCCATATAATACGCAATTCTAAAAGTTGAGTCTAATCCATTCAACATTCTGAGTGCCCTTTTTGTATCTCGACCATTTATGAATTGAATTTAAAACTTTTTTTATTTATAAAGGTATTTGAATGAAATTTGATACATCCCTAGCAACACAGTTCCGTATAAAAAGCGTTTATTGAAGACTAAAACCCTACTTATATAATACGCATAAATGTCCGGCGGATGTTGCTGTATTCTTGTAGGAATATTATGCATTTATTATTTTCCATTGATATATGATATGCCTATGCGTATATTAAGGTGGTGTTATATACGTTTATAAAACGAATGCTAAAAAACGGTTATTTATATACGTATTATCAACGTAGAAAGTGAACTCTATGGTTTATATATATGAATAAAAATCGAATTTTAAAAGTAGATATAAAATCGGTCTACACAAAAACGTATACCATACTACCAATACCGAATTTATCCTTTCAAAACGCTTTAAAACCGTTTTTAAACGTAGAGTGTGTTTGCTGGGATATGCACTTGGAATAATACCAAATGTAGCCCCAGGTTAAAAATTTGGTTTTGCGAATGCTAGAGCCATACCCAGGAGCTCGTTTGCTATATTTTTTTGTACGTTTATTATTCATGGACTCTTGCCCTCTCTAAGTTGGTTTAATTCAGAAATAGGATGATTTACACATATATTTATAACATTGATATTCCTCGTGTCACTGTCGTCTTTTGATTTACCGTTCTGCCCTAGAGAATTTAAAATGCGGTGTAAAATAAGCGATTCCATTCCATCTTATAAGTACAAGGTGAATTCAGTCTGTGCAATGTAAGAGATGCGAAATCTTTTGGGTCTATCACATTTTCACTAGTGTTTTCTTACCAAAATTACAATCGCATGCATTTTTTTCAAATAAATAAACGTTTTTCTCTCTCTCATAATGGTTCAGATTTCTTCATCATCGTCTGCATCGTGTTCGTCTCCGCCTTGATATTAGCCTTGTTATTCAAACTACTTCTCCAATGTTGTACTTTGCTGGAAGGGCGTGTTTTTGTTGACTTTGTTTTCTATGGCCAATTTCAGAACACAAGTTAACGGGGTGTGAACTTAAATCGCTCTGGAAACTAACCCCGGATGAGGTTGTGAACCATATATAGGCAAAAGACCCTCTTCAGAGATGTTGTGCAGTTATTTCGAGTAACAGGGAGCGTGACAAGCAAAAGTAGCGGTGGTTGTGGACGACCACGTGATTCACCAGAGACAAGTTACGAAAATCAACAACAAACTCGAAATCGACATCTTTGAGGACAAGTCTAACTATTCTTGAGGCCTAGCTGACAGCAATGAGACACCCATATCCATATTGCCCGTGGTTTATAGAAAATTTTTAAGATAATTCCACAAAGCTGGCTACATAACCCTTGCGTGTATGACGATATTAAAAGCAACCTTGAAAAGTAGGTGTTTGGGCAGCACTGAACGAAAGTGATTACAATTTTAACCGATGGAGTTCCACTTTGGCCTATCCGAGTAGGTATGCTAAAATCGACCGTCTGCCACCTCAGGTCATGTTACTTTAGGCGCTGCGGTACTTCTTGCGATACCAATTCTAAATCGTTGTTTTTTGAGAAAATAAGTTATACACCAAATGAAAACGTTAAGATTAGCTCTTAAAAAGATATTTTAAAAAAATCGTGAACATTTTGATGACTTAACCCTGTTTCTTTTTTAATTTGTCTCTGTAATTATATGATTATCTTATCTAATTATTATCAATTTATTTTAAGTGAAACTAATATTTGATGCAAATATTCATTTACTTCCTGAATCCTCATGATTTCATACTCTAGAAGATCCCAAGGTATAAAATCTATTCCTAATATACCTATACCTATGCAGATCAACTATAATTCTCCTTTGGGTACAAGAGTGGAAAAGAAGTTGCACGGTCAATTATTTTAAATAACAATAAAATGACTGCCGGTTTACAATATTAAATGACTCATTTCCAAAGGAAAAAAGAACACCGAAAATGTTAAATATTAATACAACCTCTTACCATATAATTTAGTCTAGATTACAATAATTGTAATTAATTAGAATACATTATCTCATAAGAAGAAATTGCAATTTATGCAACATTTTCGACTTTATTATACGATATGAAAGATTAGATCCTGCGAATGACCGCAACGACGCATGCCATGAGCATAATTTCGAATTACATTCCGGCACGTGCAAAATAAATGTTGAATCATTCTATATGTGTTTTTTTGTATCGACTTCTGACCAAATACTCTTGCACCTACTGGTTACGG